TGCTGCTATTTCCCTTACATTCTGTATTCATTTTGTAGGAGTTAGGGCACAAAGAATGGGAGAGATTGGAGACAATGGGTAATAGCTGGTTTTATTAGCCAGAGGATGGATATGGAATGAACATTTTGCTTTCAACAGCCTGCATGGAGATAATCAAAAGTTGATTTTTTAAAAGTGTCTATAATTTGAGCTCATTTTAATGTAATTTTAGGGTTTTGATGAAAACACATACGCTTCTTCCCTTCTTAGGTGGCTGTGGTTTTTCTGATAAGAAGTGATACTCAGAGTGAAGTCTGGTTTCATTTCTACAGGTCAGATGGAATGGCTTTTCTTTGGAATTATTGGTGGATGAAGAGAAGGAGATAATCAGAGAATCATAGCTTTTTAGTTATTAACTCATGCCTTTATAGAGATCTTGTGATTTAGAACTGGAAATAACCTTAGAGATCAACTACTCCAGGTAGGGAAACTGAGATCCAAGAAGGTTGAGACATGCCCAAACCACACAGACACTAAGTAGCAGAGGTGGCATTTGAAGCCATAACCTTTGATTTACATTTTATAGGGTGGAAATAACTTATTCCAACCCCTTCCTTTTATACAGGAAGATAATTTATAATTTTCTCTAATAATATTTTATAGTGCTTAAATATAAATATACTTTTTAAAACTGTGGGATGAGCTTTCCATATGTCAACTAACTTGACCCTCAGATTTGATCCTAACCCTGTGAAGTAGATTCTATTATTATCCCCATTTTATAGATGAAGCAAGTGAGGTAGACAGAAGTTAAGTGATTTGGCCAGGGTCACACAGCTAGTCAGTATCTAAGGCCAGATTTGAATTTAGATCTTCTGGCTCCAGGCTCAGTGCTCTACCCACTGTGCTATCTTGCTGCCTCCAATTCAATTTCATCGTGATAAAAAAAAAAAGATACTAAGAAAATCTTCCAGTTATAGTTCATTTTATTTGCTAAGCAGTGATAATTGATTGAAAATTGATATTTTGTTAAGGGAAGACTACCCTTGTCCATTTTCTACAATTGAGATGATCTTTTATTTTCACTCAACAGCTTCCCCTATCTCTGGTTGTAATGGATGCCATTTGGCTGTCGGGTGACTAGACAGACAAACCACGACTGTGACTATGCTGTTTGCCCACTAGACATATTCACCTTCTTGGACTCTGCATGCCTACTTCTCTTAGTCCACAGATTTCTTAGGATTATATCACTTCTCATTTGCCTACTTGAAAGCTGGCCTCTGGGCATAGAAAACAAAGCAAAGCAAAGCAGAAAACGTCACTGTGTAATCAGGATATAAAACCAAGGTGCCTGACAACAGCATAGAGGAGAATGGCACACAGGTGGGTGAATCCATGCCATGTTCAATGACAAAGAAGCAGTGTGGCCCAGTGGAAAGGGTGATGGAACTGGGCCTAGGAGACAGGGAGCCCAACTCTCTTCTGGTTTGTCCTAGAGAACAATTGTGCAGTAGTTGCTTAAACTCTTGGAGCTTTACTATCCCTATCTGTGAAAGGAGTATAATGTTGCCAGTGGTACCTACCTCACAGGGCTGTTGTGAAGGTCAAGGGAGTTAATATCTGTAAGGTATTATAGGGAGATATGTGTCAGTTTTTGGTTTTTTTTATCACTTGGATGGCCATATGAATAAATGTTAGAGGTGTGGGTTTAAAGTCCATTAGAATTTAGTTGTTCCACTGTTAACCTCCTGTATGAATTTTGGGTTCAGGCTTGTTCAGCAGGTATGTGGCATACAGCTAAGGGTTTATGGTTTCTTTGTAGGCGGTCTCCCCCAACCCCTACCACCTGAAACTGTTAGGCATTCCTGGTTACATTTGGCTTCTCACAAGGAAAACAGAAGACTTTCTCAAAGAGTAGTATCTCATGTCAGCCTTCCCTGAAAATGCTACAAATGCCTATTAAAGCTCTCCAAGGCCAGCAGAGGCCAGGACCCAGATCTCTCCTGGAGGCTGCAAAGGTTGGGCATGAGGACCACCACTTCAGGGCCACAATCACCAATTAGTGAGTGTGGTGCCAGGGCCAATTCACGTTAGACCCTAGGACTCCATAAAGTGTTGGGGAAGACAGAGACCTTGGGGACACTGCAAGATGGAAAGGCTTTCACTGTGTGGGGGACGGGTGCCTGAGACCAGCCACAAAAGCACTCTTCTGCTGCACAGCCAAGCAAGAGAGGAATTCACATCTTAGTAACATCTTAGTTTAATGAATTATGCTTGCTAACCACATGTGCAACACAGTTATTTTTACCTTTCAGAAGGTCTGCAGGTGCTGACATCACCCTGTAAATTTTGATCCCCTTGGGCAAAGCTCAGTCACTCCACCTTAGTTACACCTCTGGAAACAAGGTCTGATTTCCAAGTATTGTCACAGAACACCCAATGAGCCTTTTTGCTTCCAAAGAAGTGACTCATCTAATTAATTGATTGATCAATGCTTCCTAAGATATTGAGTAAAACCAATAGCCCCAAATTAAAGACTGTTCAAAGGCTGTGGCTTATGATGCAATAAGGTAATTATGCAGATTAAGGAAACAGGTAAATTCTATGAACTTTGAGTACCTTCTCCCTACTCTTTCCACAAAATAATATCAGGAGGTCCAGATTCTTGCCAGCTAATGAACACGGTAAATAAAATGCAAATATATCATGAGCAATTTAGTTTGCCAGTACTATGGATCGGCCACTTCGATTCCATTGATTTTATTTCAGATATTTACAATACGGAGACATGAGCCTAATTTATTTCCTGAAGAGTTCAAGGCAGGTATCATTGGCTAAAAACACCACACACACACACACACACACACACACACACACACACACACACACACACACACACATACAACAATGGAGTAATGTTTGGGGCGCTATCTGCAATAATCTAATGCTGACAGAGAGCAGTATTTTATTTAGTAATTAACAGTGTAAAGGGGAGAGAAGCTGTCATGTTGGTTCTTAAGCTGGGGAATGTGATGAAAGATGATATCTGCGATCTCATCCTTTCCACTTGTTTAGAATTGTCAGGATGAGAAATGTCAGCATTATGAAAGCTCAGCTCTGCTCTTGATATGATAAAACCCTTCAAAAGCCAGTCTTTCTCTCTCCCTCTCCCCTCTTCCTCTCCCTCTCCCCCTTCCTCTCTCTCTCTCTCTCTCTCTCTCTCTCTCTCTCTCTCTCTCTCTCTCTCTCTGCCTCACCCCCCCACTTGCTTTTTTATTTATCCTGTTTTGTTAGATGGCAGAAATATAATTCTTTTCTTTCTTCCTATTATAAGCCACCATTTTTGTTTTATTATATGTTTCACAACCTCTAATGCCCCACTGAAAATTACCTTGTTAAATGACAGTGTTTCAGAGCCATGAATCCTTTCCCCCATTCCCTCAGAGATTTGAAACAGTCAACAGACTGTAAAGAATAAATAATAAAAAAGTATTGATTATTTTGATGACTGTGAGATTCAATTAAGTATTAATTTTGCCCTCCAGTGGACCTATCAAGGTATTCAAAAGGGAGGATTCGGCTCAGCTAAATGCGGGCTGAGTGCTCCAGCCTTAAATAGGGAGAAAATGTATTTACCTACAGTATTTGAAGGGAGAGGAGTGCATTGATGCACAGAGTCCGATATTTAAGTGCTGGGCAAATTAAGCCCTGGTGACAGTGACATTGTTTTCAGGGAGATGAGTATTGACCAGAGAAGTGCATTTCATGACAGCTTAAACTATCGCTATTGATTAACATTTTCATAGATTATCATGTGTCATATCAAATCCACTTTCCAGACACGACTACATTAAAAAACCCTCAGGCGACCTCAGGCCAACATAAAGCTGGGACCTCGGGTGCAGGCTGACCAAGCTGCTTCCAAGCTGGTCACCTGTCCCCTGCTCGAAAGCCACTTAGGCATGAACTTGGCCATAAATAGCTGCTGTGGGAGCCCAATGAGGTCACTCAGGTCTTTCTTCTCCCTTCTGCTGCTGGTCTTTCTGCTCCAGTAGTACGATACATCTTAGTTTGCCAACTGGCTAATAGAGTGTGCTTGGGAATCATACTAACCCCCAAATGCCCTCTGACTGAGCTGGAGAGAACACAGATCCAAATCAGCAGGGGGAAAAGTTGAGTGTTGGGGGGTGGAGTTGAGAGTGGAGTGGTGTTTTTGTTGCTGATTTCTCTTTGTAACATGGTGTGAGTGCCATGTCCCTCCTACAAGACTAACTGAAAACATTTTTGTAAGTATATTCACCATTCTTTTAAATAATTTTTAGTTGATACATGCATATCGTCTATATCTATACATACATCTATATCAGTATTAAACCTACTTCTATATCTATACTTATATCCGTATCTATAGTGTTATTTGTTTTTAAACTATGCATCAGAACTGGGGGTAGAGTGGGAAGGGACCACTCCTGTCCAAATTTGCAAGTGGAGGTAACTTATTTCTACATTGATTTCATATGAGAAATATCTTTTATTTTATCAATGCACTACATCCTTGCCTCTCCCCTCCATTTTCCTTTTTCTTCTCTTCTTTGGTCTTCTGATAGGGTTTCTTTGCTTCTATCACTCCTTTTAAAGCTTCTGGCTCCTGCCTGGGAGGTGCTCTACCTTTGGAAGGGGTTCCTGAATCCCAAGCCCAGCTCTCCCTCCCTCTCTGTTTTCCCCCATTCCTTATTAAAGCCAGAACAAGGTGTAAAAACATCCCTAGCCAAGCCCATCCCACAATTAAAGCAGTGTTGCTCATGTGGCTTTCAAAGAAGTTTTTCCTTCCCAAGCATCCTGCATTTCTCCCATGCTGGCTGCACTTTAATGGGGGGGGGGGGAGTAATGGAAAACTCATTGGATCCGTAATAGCTCTTCACTTGACTGCAGCCAGCAATAACGGCAGAAGCAGCCCGAGATAAGAGAGAGAGAGAGAGAGAGAGAGAGAGAGAGAGAAGAGAGAGGAGAGAGAGAGAGAGAGAGAGAGCACGCCAGCCAGCTAAAGCTGCCACTTTCTTCCCCCCTCACTCCTGTTCCCCGTCCTAGGATCCAATGATAACTGGACAAGTCAGTAAGCCCTCGCTGCTGCTGTCAGTGCGGAGTGAAATGAATGCAGAGTTGAGAGGTGAGGACCAGGCAGCGACTCCAGACAGCGAGCTCAATGAGCCCCTGCTTGCGCCCGGGGAATCCAATGACAGCCAGGACGCTCCCAGCAAGCTCTTCGGTAAGTGTGGCGACGTATTTCATTTCAGCCCGACCGTGTTGTCCGGAAGAGCAGTTGCGTTCCCCTATCCCTCCCCCTCCCCCCCGTCGAGGTGTTTGTCCCCTTTTCTCCCAAGTGCAAAAAGAGGAGTTCGGGGCGGCAGGGGCTCAGCCCCGAGGCGGCTCCCGGATGCCTCCTGGACTGCCCTCCAAACTTTGAGCCCACCAGCAAGTTAAAGCATGCCGGTGTCGAAGCTGCCCGCCACCTGTCTGTCCTGGGTTCCTGAGTGGGGTCTGGATGATGAAAAGGGAAGGTGGCAATGCTTAGGATCCGGGTCTCCTCAGTATTCGGGGCGAAAGGCATCTGGCATTGATTGAATAAATATATCCACTCCCTGGTGGGCTGTGTGGCAGCTTTGAGGAAGGGGAAGTGGTTCGCTTCTGTAGTCTAAAGAGGAGAGAAGAGGAGAAAAATACCCATAGAGACCATTCTGCCCAGATCAACAAAAGCCATACCCCAGGGGGTCCGGAGAAAGGCAGATTGTTTTGTCAATTTCAACCGGAAGGATTTTGTTTTGTCTGAGGGGTTAGAGTGTTGTCGATTTCAGCATCCCCCGTGGCCCTTTTCCCTTGTTACATATTGATACACGGTTTCAATCTGATACATAGTTTCCATCTGAGACAGTGTTCATGGTAGCCACAGTTTTGATCTCAGTAGCCTAAGGAAGCCATAAACTTCCCTATCTCAGGAACCAAAACAGAGCAGGGAGAAGAGTGTGGCTGGTCTGGCCGGCCTAGACATCTGTCATTCAAACAGATGACACCCTGTAAGGCAGCCCAGGCAACAGTGATCTCTAATCAGAAAGGGGAACAGAGTTGTGGAGGCACGGGGCCAGCCAGGGCTGATGGTGTTATGGACGTCTCTGCCTGAGCAGCATTTCATGGCACAGACGTGGCATTTTGTTTTCAGGACAATTACTCCTCAAAGACTTCCTTTTAATTATTTTCAGACGTGACTTTCTGAAAAAAAGAAATAGACAATGCCCCGGCAAAGTCAGCTTGCCTTCATATAAGCAGAATCTACTGGCTGGAATGTCAGAAAACCTTCCCGTTGCCTGGAGTACAGCCTTTAAAAAGTCTTAACACTGTGATTAATATCTAAGTTGATGATTTCATCCCTGGGGCAGAACACACCACAATAGACTGGGCAGTCCTTAGCATTTCTAGGGTGTTTTAAAAATGGATAATTTTTCATCATTTGGGGCACCTAGGGTATCATGCTGAGTATTTTATGGAGAAACTTTATTTGAAAGATAGGATAGGATGTTACAACACAAAACCAGATACTGTACTTACTTGACAGTAGGCTAGAATTCAGTTTTAGGATATTGGTGGTCACCTTTCTCCTGCAGAAATCAGCCATTCTAGCTTCAATATACGTGGACCAAGCCCAACATTCTCATTTGAGTCAATTTTGTTCCAACATGATACTGTGATGTGGATTGAATTCTAAAATTCATGGAAAGCATTATTAGTAATAAACACATGAATTTCCTGAATTAACCATTGCCTTGTTTTGCTGGGCAAGAGGAGGAGGTTAGGGAGAGATGGGTCAAGCGATGTGCTTATAAAATATATTTTAAAAGCTTATGTAGTTTTAATCTGCCTGAAAAGATCAATATTGAATAGTTTTTTGACCCTCATGCAGTGAATTCCACATTAACTATAGATGATGTATTACTGAGCTGAAAACAAGTCAGTGCCGAAAGTGGGCATGAATCCTTGTCAGTAGCTGCCTTTGACACAGTTACTCCTGTGCTTCTGACTGACTAGTTTTCTCTCAAGTAAACACACAAATGAATGAGGAGCTCAGAGCTCCTTTACATTTCTCTAAGTTCTCAAACAGGGATAATTGTTGCCAACTTTGTTTTCTGGAGGACAAGCCAAGAGGAAAAATGAATCAAATTATTAATAATAATAATAATAATAATAATAATAATAATAATAATAATAAATAATAATAAGGCATATTATTTTGCTAGACCAGGAAAAAAGTTTAGGATGCTTGTGATTTGGGAATGACACATTGGCTATTGGACCATTTTTTTCTGGAATCCCCTGACTTACTTATAGGATACATTTTTTAGACCTTTATTTTATGACTTCCTTCATTTTACATTCTGTGAGGTTAGAACCGGGGAGCCTCTAAATTGTTTTCTAAGCCTAGGAAAGGGCTTTTATCTTTCTCGGGCTCTATATGGCATTTCAGACTTACTGTCAATGAGTCCCAGCTTTTAGTTATATGGTTTACAGAACAAGAAAATAAGGACCATTCCTGGAAACATGAGCAAAAGGAGACTGGGAGAAGGGAGTTATAGATTTCCAAATGCAAGCTAGACCTTTGTCCTTCAATTTCCTATAGACATTGTTGAAAAATATTAAAAGGATTCCAGTCATCCAGGGACTGACTTATCATAAGCTTAGGTGCTGCCTGGGCTAAGAACTTAGCCTTGACTTGAAGAATGGACTCCACCAGGCCAAGTCTGTCTCTTTTGACTTGAGCTGCCCAGATGAGCATTTCAAGAATCGTATTCCAAAGGGAGCAGACGACATCTACAAAACACCTTCCCTAAACTGAAGCAAAGATTCTTTTTCTCAACATTCTTCATTAGGGCCCATTCTTTTATTGTGCCTTTCCCCAAGGAGACTCACATTAGGGGAATGCTTGAGAGCTTGCAACATGCTCCTCAAAACTGTTTTTCTACTTAAAAAAGATCAGGAAATGGAAATGGAAGGAGTGGCCACAAAGGCATACCATGTCCCAGAAAGGAGAGCCACTCACACCAAACCAAAACAGGTGGAAAGGAAGCTTCTTTTTGGCCAAGATTCACCACAAGCCCAAGAGTAAGATTAGGAACCGAGAGTAAGGCAAACAAAGAGCCTCGTTTTTCATGCCTTTGCCATTGTCATGTGTTAATCAGTGGGCTCCAGGGGAGGGTCTCCCATCCAGGCTTTACTGGGTGGCTCAGCCGAGGAGGTCCAGAGCTGGTGCCTGTGCCCTAGCCCTCTGCCACCCTCTGTGCAGGTCCAGCCTCCTCCGAATGCCCTCTGTGGATGAACAAAGGAAATCCCAGGAACAATCAGGCCCTTTATGCTTTTCTCTAAATTATACCCTGACACTCAGAGCATCTAGGGGGAAACATACTGAGCAGCAATCTCCAATGCTTTGAAGAGTTCAGAAGGGCAGAAGGAGAAGTGAGCAGCCAGATGCCAGAGTGAGCAGGAAGTTCCAAAGAGGGCCCCTGTGTTCTCTGAAGTAATTATGTCAGGGGTAATGCTTTGCTTAACTTGCACGCCCGTCAGCATGATAGCACACTGATGAGAGATAAATCTGCTTCATATGGAAGAAGCCTGGGCCTAGAAATCATTAAGTGGGGTGTTATTTATTTGTGTAAATCCTCGAGAAAAAGCTTGCTTCTTGGGTCAACTTGATGGCATGACAGGAAGCCCCACCCTGGATATGGAAACGCAGCTCCTATGTCAGAGGAGGCCTGTCCCAGGGTCATCCTGGTTCCTGGTGCTTCAGCTGGAGGAGTAAATGAGGGATTTCCCATAGGGCAGCTGTTTACTATCACCTTAACAAGGTCCACACTCTGAACCGTGATCACAAGTGGCCTTTAGGCTGAAGAGGCCGAACATGTTTCTATAGTGACATTTCTACCATATGCATTAATCGTGACACTTTCCTCTGCAGTTTTGGGGCCCATTCAATAATTGTTTCTTCACATTCACTGAAAGGGGGTAGTTCGAGTTTAAAATAATTGATAAGAGGAATGGCCCCTAAAAGGATGGAAGATATAGATTGGATAAAGTAATACACATAGTCAGGTTTTTTCCAATCCAGTTTGTTTTATTCAGGCTGAAAAGTTAGGCCTTGTGGAAACATGTCTTAAATATTTCCTCTCTTCTATTTGAGCATCGAAGGATAAATTGTTAGCATGTCTGCTCCTGGGGAAATTTTACTTGTTTCAAGTTCAGTCTCATGATTGCTTTTCATCCAGTGATAACGTGTCTCTCTCAGCTTGGGTTTTGCTTTTCAGTAGCACTGGACTGTACTTGAAACGGGCAGTGCCTTGGACTGAGGTTTCAACGAAACATAACAGAGAAACAGAGCACCTGAAAGCAAAAGTGTTTCCCATGCCTTTAACAGTTGCTGTATTTTTTCCAGAGTAAAAGAAATTGCATGCATATAACTAAGCTCAAAAGAGTGGGTATTCATTGTCATTTATCTGTGAACTCTCTGAAAAGGGTTACAAGTTAAGTTGAGGAATCTTTGCTAGAAAGTCTTCTGTCTAAGGGGCTGGTGTTAGGGGTGGGGTGGAGGGTGCAGTTCTACCTTATATTTTCCAGTATCTCTTTTACAGAAAATATTTATTGTAAGAATTTTTTGAAAATTATCATCCAGTTTAGCTTGATTAGAATTTATTGCAGCAGAATCATTTTTAGCTATGAAAGGATGAAAGAATAAATTGTCTTTCACCCCTAGAGACAGTGGTCTGTGCAGGTCAGAGTGGAGGTCATTGATGGGGGATTGTGGGGAAGTCTACACTTAGACAAATTGTGACTCCTGTTACAATATCACCAATTTCATCACTATATTTAAGCCTCTCTTTCAGGGACCTCATGCTTCTCTGTTAATAATTTGCTCATAAAATGTATTAAGGGCAAGACCTTAGAACATAGGGCCTTATCCCAGGAGGAATTTGGTATGGTGGTGGGAAGTGTTTAGGATCTGACAGAGAAATGCACACAAGTGGAACATTTATTTTGCTATAGGAAATTAAGAGTTGCCATATTTTTATCAAAGCAAAAATTCACATTTCAGTTGACGGGGGGAAAACAGTTTCATTGGAGAATACGGGAATTCTTTCTTATAAGGGAAAAACAAATATTACCAATGGTCTAATTTGAGAATTTGTTCCTGTGATGATGTAGTCACTTTAAGTTTGTTTGTTTAATACT